GAGGCATTGAATGTATCAGTTATGATTGGAGCCAGGCAGTACCCAAAGTCACGGAAAAGCCAATAGGGGAAATCATCAGGGCCCGAGGTAGTCCTTTTAATTTTAACTAGAGCTTGCGCAACCTCATACACCGTGAAAGAGGGTACCATTGTGCCCTCTGGAATATTATACATCTTAAGGAGGGAGTAGTCGGGATCAGTGTTAATCTCGCCAAAGTGTTCATTAATACTTTGGCGAGAATTGTCCATTTGATGATGCAAAATTTAAAATTAAAATTGTTACGTAACGCATTTAAGGGCTCAAATTACCCCTTTTGAATCAAAAGGAGATTTGAGCCCTGTAATGCTTAGATATTTCATGAGCTTTGAAAATTTCATAATTGCAAGGGTTTGTATAGAAAATCGTGTCAGCGTGACTGGGTGGTAAAAGTTGATTTTATCAGTACAAATGCTTCTAACTTTCGGCGGCCGTTGCAATCACTACTTATGAGATATACGGCTGAAAATTCTCAGGTTTCCTAATTTTAATATGCTCTTTCAGCTTGTGCTAACAAAATTTTTAAAAAGTGAACTGTTTCCGTGGTTACCGGAAGTTGATCACATGATCAAGTCTTACTAATAACCTATCCACACCCTTTCTCTTCATGGTAGATAAAATCGAAAAGTCTGCTGAGCTTTTGACAACAGGAACTAATATTCGTGTAGTTGACGTTAGGCAAAGGTTCGGTAAGTCCATAATGTCGTCTGTCGATAGCGGTAGTGGGTCGCTAGATTGTCGGACTGTAGTCTCAGTACATTGTAGAGTGGAATACTTGCAAACAGCGATTTTACATCAAATGGAACTAGTTTGTGGTCAGGTATCTGTACAGTCTTGGTAGCGCTAATGAATTCCTCAGTGGATTGTAGTTTACGTCTGTATTTGTTGGTCAGCGGTTATAGTATTGTCGTCAGGTACTTGGATAGTTGGTACGTAGGAGAACCACAGAAAGAAACTATAGGTCGCATCGGGGAAACCAGGTTCACTTCAATTGGCACTACAATGTACTGAGAATGCAATCCGACAATCTAACGACCCACTACCGCAACCGACAAATGACATTATGGACCTCAAGTTACTGAACCTTTGCCTAACGTCAACTTACTTTCAGTACAATGGCAAACACTTAAAACAGTTACACGGCACAGCCATGGGGTCTCCAGTTTCTTTTCTTGTAGCAGAAATTGTGATGCAGAACACCGAGGAACGCGTTCTTTCGACTTGCCCACAAACGAGGTCGCTTTGGTTACGCTACGTTGACGATACATTCACCGCCGTACGACACGACGAAATCGACGCATTCCACCACCACCTTAACGGACAAAACACTGTCACATTTTTTACCAGAGACGTCGAAGAAAATGGCAAACTTCCTTTTCTAGACTGTCTAGTAAGTCTTAACGACAACTCACTACGGACGACAGTTTACAGGAAACCGAAAAACACCGACAGATTACTGGACGAGTCATCCTATAACCCTACATCAAACAAAGCCACAACTACGTATGATGCACGATCCTCGCAGTAGAGAGCGCTATTTATGCAATAGCGCAAATCAGACCTGAAAAAAATCAGGCCTGTACGGGATTCGAACCACTGACTTCTGCGATACTAGTGCGGCGCTCTACCAATTGAGCTAACAAGCCAACTGGGAGCAGGCCGTTAAGTTGACTCGTAATAAATCCGTGATGATAAATCAGATACGATGAATATATGAAGTTCATATATTCATCGTATACAAAGCCACAACTATCAGAACTCTAACACGACGTGCGAAACTAGTATGCAACAAGACAGACATCTTATCCGACGAGAACAAATACCTTTACCGGGTTTTTTCAAACAATAGCTACAACGACGACTTCATCCGACGAAACACTCACCGACCTACTACTACCACCGAAACAAACGACACCGCAACTCCTTAAGACTACAGCAACCATACCGTACATAAAAGGCATGACTGAGAACATCTCGCGCATCTTACAACCCTTCAATATCCGCGTCGCCCACAAACCCAGCACCACACTTCTCAGCTTTTATAATCGTAACGGTGGCCAATTTACCATTTCAACTTTGTTGTTATATTCAAATTATTTCGTTACCCTCACCGACGCATCACCATACTACTTCAGTTACTATAATCAACGTTAAAGACAAGGACGAACCGAGAAACAGACAAGGAGTGATTTATAGGGTCAATTGCTCCGATTGCCAAGCCTCCTACATTGGTGAGACAGGTAGAGACCTCCCAACAAGACTGACTGAACACAGACGGGCGACGAGGAAAGGTAATGTCAACAATCACATTACTGAACATTATCGACTTACGAACCACAATATTGACTGGAACTCTGCGCAGTGCCTAACCTACAGCACTGACTACTTTCAACGACTGACTCTGGAAAGCTGGTTTACTAACTTAGAACAGACTCCCTTAAACGGGTTTCGACTACTTCTGGCTCCATACAAACGACTCATTACAAACGAACCGAACAGAACGACTTAAATTTATCGACGGATCGAAACAGACCAATCATGACCGAGGTCAGTTGAGTCTTACAGCCAATGACATCACGGCAAAACTGATGATGATGATGATGATGTTGATGATGATGATGATGATAATGAAACTTTAAGTATCTGTTAGGGATCTAGCTCCTGACTAGTAAAGTGCTAATTGGTGACAGAGTATAGTTATACAATAAACATTATCTTAAAATTACTAATAATACACTAATTATACCGTAACTTAAGCTATAATAAAACATTATAAAATAAAAGTTATTTTAAAATGTACTAATTAATACACTAATTATATAGTAACATAAGCTATAATAAAACATATTCGAATAAAGATGAGTTCAAACGTTACAAAGCATATCCTGTAATTTACTAATTAATATACTAATCATACAGTGGCTTAAGCTATAATAAAACATATTCGAATAAAAGTGTCAACTGCTGCAAAGAATACATGTGCATTGCCCTTTAATTAGGTCATTTAGATCTGTTTGTCTAATCTTATTCTTAAAAAATTCCAATGTGTCCGAACTTCCAATGTTCATGATAAGTTTTGACCAGAGAACTGGTCCTAAATATCTAATGCTGTGTTTACCAAAATTCACAGTGTTAAATCTATAAAATCAGCATTCCTCAGTGCATAACCAGATGAGTTCAGGCTGAAAAGGTTGCTAATGTACTTTGGACATTGATGATGTTTCACTTTGTACATGAGAACAGCCACATCCTGGAGCCGACGATTGCATAGCGTTGGAAAATGTTAAATACTATAAAATCAGCATTCCTCAGAGCATAACCAGATGAGTTCAGGCTGAAAAGGTTGCTAATGTACTTTGGACGCTGTTGATGTTTCACTTTGTACATGAGAACAGCCACATCCTGGAGCCGACGATTGCATAGCGTTGGAAGATTGGCCATTTTTAGAAGAGTGTCATATGTTGCCGTTTTACTGCGTGTTTCGTTTAGTACATAGGCGTTGCCTTTGATGACAGTTATATTTTAATTAACACAACTCGTGATTGACATTAATTCCTTACAATGATTTATAAGTGTTAGCTTGTCGTGTTTTAAACCAGTTTTTTCAGAAGAATCAGTAAGAGAGAGAAGTCGGTTTTTATATCTGTTCGCTTACCCGAATATGCTAACCTGAAGTGAGAAACCTGTTTTTACGACCCGCCACTGTAGTGTCCAATCATGTTTTTCTTGAATTTTGCTACGAGACTAAGACTTAATTTGTGTTTACCGATTTCCAATTACAAATGTATTTCTCTTAGATCGAAAAATTATTAAAGCTTGGAATATTATACGGTTTGTGGCAGTCCGATTAAGCGGAAAGGCGAGCTGCACCGCGAAACAATGCGGTAGACAGCTCGTAGTGCATATTCTTGAACACGTTCCAATTTGCGTGCATCTGATTCCGCACAGAAATGCCAGACAATATGACAGGATGTCAATAATGGTAATATAGCAGTTTTATAGATCTTAACTTTAGGTGACTGTGGTATAATATTTCGCAGATGTAGTAGAACTCCCACTTGTTTTGATGCCATTTTTGTAACCTCGCCAACGTGTTCTTTGAATTTCATCTGTTTGGCCATCTATGGATACCCCAAGTAGTTCTAGTATCAGATAGCTTTCCACAGATGTGTCCGTGATGACAATATCGATATCTCTGTCCATGAATCTGGGTCAGAATTGTACTGCTTGGTATTTAGAAAAATTACCCTGGAGTGCATTTATTGAGTACCACTTTGAGTCATTGTTGCCTTCATCATTCAGTATTCTTTCCACTTCTTAGATCCGTCGTCCACTAGCGTAGAGTTGATGATCATCTGCATACTAGGACAATGGACAGTTACACACATTAAATGTTAGGTCGCTCTAAAAAATGTTCCACAGCAACGGACCAAATGTGGATCCTTGTAGACAACCCTAATTAACATCCTTCCATTCACTTGTGGTTTGCGTCCCAAGTCTCACTCGGTTCTTTCTTTCGGTGAAGTATGATCTTAGCAGCTTAAGCGCATGTCTCGAGAAGGCATATGCTCAGTCTTAGTTTACCTAGCATTAAAGGTGGATGGAGGGAACCAAAAGCCTTTGACATATCTGTTGACAGGATTCCAACCTCCTCCTTAGCATCAACTGCCCTTTTCCATTCCTCCACCAGCTTTAGCAGGGTCATTTCACAGCTGTGCTTCCTGCGATATGCCGTCAAGTTTTCGCCAAGTTTTCAAGGGATCAATAAAGTCAGACTTGCTCACTTACTAATTGCTCGAATATTTCATCAACAGCTTTGAGTATTGTTGAATATTGTTAAATTTTTTTTTAATTTTTTCTTTTAAATATGCTCTATTGCTGTGTGCTGCTGTGAGCAGCACACAGCAACAGATCTTGTCAACTTCTTTATTTTCTCCTACTGGTTTCGTCTAATAATACAGACTTCGTCAGGGAGTATGAATAAGATAGTGAAGGAACTTATTTTATACCTAATCATTGTAGGACAAATCACGTTCCAACAAGGGTGTGAAAAGCGAAAAAACATCTTTAAGGCATTACGTGCAGGATAGGACTATTCGGAAAATTTTTGTTTTTGACATTTAGAACAGAACTGTGGCTAAAATGATGGAATACGAGAGTTTTGATCTTGCTCCGCACCGCGGGTTAGCGCGCTACTGTAGTAGAAGATACACCAAGAAAAATAGCGTCCACGGGATCTACCAGATCTATAATACTGTAACCGCTATCAGGATGTCATTCGGTGTAGTGGGCGGTTCTTCCCACACGTCTGCCGAGCTTGGGTAAAGGGGCCGGCTGTTAACCATGTAGGTGGTTTCTGCTAGTAAAGTCCTCCGCTGTTCTTCAGTAAACGCGTGGTTCTTGCATACGCTGTTAAGGGCCTGTCTGACGGACTTGATTAATGACTCAACAACTCCACTCTGGTGGCTTGCATGTGAGGTGTTCCACTGCCACTCGAAATTGCAGATAAATTCCTCCGAAAGTGTGCTTTGTATCTTGGGTATGTCCTAGTTGTGCATCATTTCTCTCAAGTATTCTTGTGCTCCTATGAAGTTCGTGCCACAGTCAGATCAGCAGATGTTTGGATGGCCGCGCAGACACGCGAATCGACGAAATGCCATTAAATAGGCTTCCGAGGTCTTTGTTGGTTATGAGCTCTGAGTGAACTGCTCTGGTTGTTGTGCAGGTAAAGATCACAACTTGGGCTTCTTGAAGGGTTTTCCGGTTCAATCGTATCTGTAAGGGCCCGAACGTATCCATAGCGGTGTTGGAAAATGGGGGAAATCCAGCTGCCACTCGCAAGTTTGGCAGTTAGCCCATTAACAGGTCGAGGGGCTTTTTTCGTAGTTTCTGGCAGACAACGCACTTGTTTACTATAGCTTTGGCAATTTTCCTGAGCCCGATAATCCAGAACTTCCGTCTTGTTTCGTGCATGAGGCTCTTGTCGTATTCTTCAAAATTTACAAAGGCTAGCGCCCTTGACACGTGTTGTAAAGCCTTGTGAGTACTAGGTATCCCAAGCGTTCCAGTCGAGGGATAGTTCCTTGTTTTAGCGAGGCAACAAAAGGCTTGACAATTACCGGGACACATTGGTGACTTCCATCACGAAGCTTCCAGCGGAGGAAAATGACTGCTCCATATCCCAGCTCTCCTCCGTCAGCAAAGCCGTGTACTTGAGGTGAGCCGATTGCTTCCGTTGGTTTGAGTTTTCGGTCACATTTGCAGGTAAGAAGTCGATTTATTGCTTCTTCATTCCCCTTCCATTTATGTTGTGTTGCTTCTGGGAGGATGTCGTCCCAACCATATCCAGCCCTCCATAGTTCTTGCAGGTCAATTCCAAACTTAAGTGTTGCGGTTGCCACGAGACCTGGGCTAAAGGGTGAGGCAGGATCTCTTTGTGAAATCTTCATTCAATTTTACAACTGAATCTTTCTTTAAAGCAAACGTGTCTTCCCGTTTGTCCCACTTATGGCAAAGCAAATCTGTATAACGTTCACCACTGGTTTGATCAACGTACTGGCAGTTTGAATGCCGCGCTATGATCTGGAACTGACCTTTCGCGAGCACTTCGTCAATTGCAGTTGTGACTTGCTTGGCCTCCGCAGTGGTTGGCCTGGATCCACCAATGTCGTCAACGTACGTTCGTTCTTGAAGTTCCTTTGCTGCTTCAGGGAAATCATCATGTGAAGTCTTGGCCAGGATGTTTATTGCATTCGAAGCAATTTGAGGGGCTGGCTTGTCGCCGAAATTTAGTCTGAGCCACTGGTACACGGTGGGAAGATCATGCTGATTCTTTCTCCACAGGAACCTATGGAAGACCTGGTCATCCGGGTGTACCAATACTTGGTTGAACATCTTCCGAATATCCCCAGCGTACGCAACTTCATCCCATCGCCATGCTATTAGAACATTGGGTAGACTGTTGATATAATTCGGCCCCTTCTCAAGATGATCATTGAGGGAGAGACCATGGTATCCTTTGCAAGACGAATCAAACACGAGCCTGACTTGTGTGCTTTTTTCTGGAGCGAACACTGCTTGGAGGGGAAGCACTTGTCACTTGTCACTTGCTACCTTGATCACAAAGCCTTGATCCACAAGTTTCTGAACCTCTTGATCCACGATTTCAAAGCAGTCTTTCTTCTTAAACGACTTCTCCGCGGAATACATTCTCTTTAGAGCAATGCCATAGTTACTTTGTTTCGGAGGTCCAGATTCTTTCCATGGCATTTTTACTTGCACCCTGCCGTTCTCCAATGTAGTCGAAGCTGAGAGGGCTTTCACGAACCTGTTCTCACGCAAAGCATTTTCACTGCAGGTGCACATTTCCGTCGGCTTAACTCCTAAGAGGTCTTGATGAACGAGCTTCTCGATGTCTTCTATAGCACTCACCGTTCCGACGTCTATTGATCTGATCTCGGTCATGTATTCTGCGTCTGAATTTACTTTGCCTAAGAAGTACCAGCCAAAACAGTTCCTTTTTGCAACCGGTTCTCCAGGATCGCCGCTGGCTGCGTGAATGTCCCCAAAGCGTCGACAAAGTCAGTACCAATGAGCAGATCCACGGTACCACCTGAGAGATGTAGCTTATCCGCAATTGGCTTGAGATGGGGATAGCTTTCAACAGCCTTCCGTGACACAGTCTTGGCGTTGCTGCAGGGCTTTCGGACTGTGTATACTTGAAGTGGCTTCAAGATATCTTCGTCAGTGGATGATCCAATTTTAATCTCAATTATCTCTGAAATTTCTGCTTTCTTTCTTCCTCCTGCCAGGTTCATCGTAAGGTGTGTCTGCGGACCAGATATCCCCAGTTGTCTTGCAGCTCTTGACAGAAGACTTGTGTTCGAGCCAGTGTCCAACATGGCAAGTAAGTCGCTGAAGGTTCCGTCGCTGCCTCTGACTTTGACCTTTTGTACTTGGAAAATTCAAGGAACGTCTCTGACATCTTTAATCTCTTCAGATATCCCCAGTTGTCTTGCAGCTCTTTTCGACAGAAGACTTGTGTTCGAGCCAGTGTCCAACATGGCAAGTAAGTCGCTGAAGGTTCCGTCGCTGCCTCTGACTTTGACCTTTTGTATTGGGCAAATTGCGATTCTCCACCTGAGGAGGAGTACTTTGGCTAATGAAGGGTGGTGTATTGGGGCTCAGGTTGGACTGCAGGGAATCGTTTTTCTTCTCATTGTGTAGGGAACGGTGAGGATTCTTCTTGCATTTGTCGCAAGGCGTACCGTCACCCCTTTTACAATCATTTGTATGATGTGAGACCCTCAGGCAGTTCCGGCATCTTCTATATTCTCTCACGATCTCCCATCTTTGGTTAATAGTCGATCCTTGATACAAAGGGCAGGATGCGAGAAGATGTTTCGCTTGGCAACCAAGGGGGCACGATTCATCATCAGTCCTGCTGGTATTATCGAAATGTTGTTCCGATCTCCTGCGGTAAGGTTGCTCTTGACCTCCTCGCTCTCTATGTCCACTCTAAGCTTCTATTTCCTTCTTGCCTCTGGATCTGAGGGCTGCCTCCTGGTGGAGCCAAGTGACCAAGTTAGCGACATTTCCTCTTTTTTGTCGCGTTGCATTTCTCGGCCAAAGTCGGCATTATCCTTAGGCTCAAGTTTCGACAAGAGTCTTGACATGAAGAGTGGCGTTTCTCAGGTTTCTTGGACTGGACATCCGTTGTCCTCCAAATCTTGTGCGAGCACAGATATAGAAGTGGCCTAGCGGGCCAGGCTCCTCGAGTCGCTTGTTACAGCGCCATAATTGTTGATCTGAGAGAGGAGTTCATCCATCAATTTCCTATTGTCCGCGAATTCGATGTCAAGTATTTCCCGTGCCCTATCTATGTTTTTGCACGTCTTCAATTGGTCTGTCCACCAGGATCCTTTAGGCAATGCTTTGCGGAAGCGCTGAAGTTGCTCCTCCTCATCTTGGTTGTATTTACTCATCCAGTGCCTGAGTTCTTTCTTCCAGGTCACATAGGTTTTTCGCGAACCATCCCATGACGGAACGGACAGTCGTTCTAAACCACCCACGTGTGGTTTTGCACCATACTTTCCGCCATTTGTTTCACTGCTTCTGCGACTGCAAGCACTGCAGTGCTATCAGAGGGATTTTGTAATTGAGTGTCGGCATTAAAGTCCTTTTGATAATGAGCGAAATTTTGCAAAGTTTGTAAATATCGTACTCTGATTTCTTCACCAGACTTAAAATTTTCTGTTAATCTTTCGTCTTCTGACGTGACACGCTCCTCAACAAATCTGTCAGCAATAACCTCCATCTGTTTCTTAATCGCCCTGTACTTGGACTCTATCTCATTGAATATTGTTGCTAATAACTTTAGGTCAGGTTTCACGGAATAAAGTGCTTTAGATTCGTCGAATAATTCCTTAAGTGCACCACTGCGTTATCTCTTTTTTCAGAGAGGGTCTTGAAATCGATCTTAGGTGGCATCTTGTTGCAATGAAATTGATGTAGGTCTTTCCGTGTTCACACCCTTATCCTCGTTTTCATGCAGAACGTTCCACGTGTAGTAACGATATCCAATCTTTTAGGACCAAACAAGGCGCTATTCATAAACACGCAATGCAAAACCCACAATAAATCAGAGTCTTTTTATACCTTTGTCCGAGAACTCTTGTCCTTTAGCGATTTGTAGGATTTCAAAGACGGTCGGTCGCTCTTTTATGCTGTCAGTTGTCCTTGTTTTCCTTACGCTTGGATGTTAATTCTTGATGACGGGTTGACTCTTCGTGTGTATCCTCGTATGATGAAGAATTTTGACTGTTTCGCACCGCGGGTTAGCGTGCTACTGTAGTAGAAGATACACCAAGAAAATAGCGTCCATGGGATCTACCAGTTGTTTTGAACTAGTTTTAATGCGTAATTCGACACAAGCTAGCTGGTCAACTAAACGCAAACGAATACACGTGAGTCGACTAAGCACTATTCTTTCAAAAATCACATTTCTTTGGGAAAAGATACTCGATTAAAAACTTCTTCTATATATTTTAGATATACTTACAATTCTGTAAGGCGCAATTCCGTTTAAGACAGGCTATTTTCTATTTGTAGAGGCACGATCACACTGCTTCAACAACAGAATTCTCTACTTTTTGATTTCCGATTGATTTCCCCCGATCACGTAGCTAAAAGGCTCGCTCTCGACTCTTTAGCCCAGCGCTAATGTGGTTAAAGGATTATATTCGATGACAAAGGAAAACAGACGCGCATGTGCTCTTAGCCACAAGTATCTCAAATTAAGCATTTGTCAACGGCGTGCAAAACAGATCTCCTACCATTCGGTCTTGATGCTCGGGTTTAGATCTCCTCGTATTATTGCATCGCCTCGATAGAATAAAAGTAGGCGAAGCCTTTCAACATATTTTACCGCTTTTTCCCAAGGCAGCGATTGACATCGCCGAGGGACTTCAATTTTTGCATTCAAGGAATATGGTACACCGCGGCTTTAAACCACGGAATGTTTATTTCAAGAGCCATTTATGGTTTCGTCCCGCCTTTAACGTTGGACGTCTGCGCGTGAACCAACGGTTCTCTTCCAGGCGGTATGCGTACTCCGATCGCATTGCATTGTGGTAGCGTTATTTTCAATATGGCGGTAAAAGCGGTAGAAATGGGTAGAGTTTGATTAAATATTCCGTAAAAGTTGGGCCGTTTGTTTTTCCTTTCACTACAAGTAAATGTAATTTGATGTATTTGATATATTCTGAACGTGTAGAAGTATTTTTCGTGCGTATTTGTCACGTATCATATCGTTCTCAAGGACAAACGCAAGCACTGTATTTTTAGCATGTAATTTGAGACCGTTTTCGAGCTGGTCAAATTCGTTGTACGTCGTAATTTGAAGCCTTCCAAAGATTTATATGGCCACTTTAATCCTTCTTCAACAGCTCTGACGAAACGCGCTCAAACGCGCTCCAACGGTACAAATGTTTTATGCGTTTTAAGTGATAGAGTTTGAGACCTTTTCGTGGAGCGAAAAGACCCACTGTTGTGTTTAGTGTGTTCACTGGGGGTCCATACAATCTGTTTGTGTACCGATGGCTTTACCTCGGTGTAAGAACCTCAGGACTGACGTCACGGAAATCGTATGCAACTTAATGTAAATTAGTAAACATCAAGACTCTAGATACGTTGAATATATGAGGTTCATATATTTTGAACTGCGGTTATAGATACGCATGATGCACTATCCTCGCAGTAGAGAGCTCTATTTATGCAATAGCGAAAATCAGACCTGAAAAAAATCAGGCCTGTACGGAATTCGAACAACTGATCTCTGCGATAGTACGTATCTATAACCGTAGTTCAAAATATATGAACCTCATATATTCAACGTATCTGATTTATCATCACGGGTTTATTACGAATCAACTTAACCGCCTACTCCCAGTTGGTTTGTCAGCTCAATTGGTAGAGCGCTGCACTAGTATCGCAGAGGTCAGTGGTTCGAACCCCGTACAGGCCCAATTTTTTTCAGGTCTGATTTTCGCTATTGCAGAAATAGCGCTCTCTACTGCGAAGATCGTGCATCATACGTATCAAGACTGTAGTCAGGTAGTACCCATAGTTCTTTTGGCTATTCTGGTTCTTCTGGTTCTCTTGGTTTTTTTTGTTCTCTTGGTTTTTTGGGTTCTCTTGGTTTTTTGTGTTCTCTTGGTTTTTCTCTTTCTCTTGCTTCTTCTTGTTCTTCTGGTTCTCTTGGTTTTTTTGGTTCTCTTGGTTTTTCTCGTTCTCTTGGTTCTTCTGGTTCTCTTGGTTTTTTTGTTTTCTTGGTTTTTCTCGTTCTCTTGGCTCTTCTGGTTTTTCTGGTTCTCCTGGTTCTCTTGGGTCTTCTGGTTCTCCCCACTATCACCTATTTAGAATCCCTCCCATAATCTTTCTGTTTTAAGCCAGCAGTGTTAAATGTTCAGTACCTTGATAGGTACTTCTTATATGTTTATTATAGTTTTGCTGCTCATTTCCTAACTTTGGTGGACTTCTTGAGTTGAGAACATGTACGGCGAGAGCGAAATTCGCAATGTTGAGGATTTGGAATTGAAACTAGCAAACATTGTGCTACCGTTCGAAGAGGTTGTTCCGTTAGCTGCGAAAGAATGGCTAGAAAAAGTCGCTACAAGTCACGGAACCTCGCGAGAAATGTTGCATCGACGAGCGCGCTTATTGGAAAGAGTACCTTGCAGGTATTTTCAGCTTATGAGTGTTAACTACTCGGTTCGGTAAAGAAAGTTCTTTATTCGCGCACACACTAATCCAAGTAATAATAATATGTAGAGCCAAAATTTACGACTTTTATACCTGCTAGCATTTTGCATATATTACGGTCACACGACAATGTACACTAATTTACAACGATTTCTATTGTGATGAAACCCAAATGGCGGCGTGAATAATGGCGCAAGTGAATT